GGCACTCCCTCAGCACTGACCCTCCGACAGTGCCCACTCCCTCAGCACTGACCCTCCGACAGTGCCCACTCCCTCAGCATTGACCCTCCGACAGCGTGGCACTCCCTCAGCACTGATCCTCCGACAGTGCCCACTCCTTCAGCACTGACCCTCTGACAGTGTGGCACTCCCTCAGCACTGACCCTCCAACAGTGCGGCACTCCCTCAGCACTGACCCTCCGACAGTGCCCACTCCTTCAGCACTGACCCTCCGACAGTGCCCACTCCTTCAGCACTGACCCTCCGACAGTGCCCTCTTCCTCAGCACTGACCCTCCGACAGTGTGGCGCTCCCTCAGTCCAGTGGCAGTAGATTCCACACCAGCCGAAATTACCAAGAACATCTCCCCTCCTCAATCTCTCCCCTTGTCCTGAGGTGTGGTAATCCTTACATTAAACCACCACCTGTCAACTTTCTCTAAGGAGAGAACAGCCCCATGGCCCTCTGGGACTATGGCGAATTTACTTCCCATCTATTAGACGCGCTGCAGCAACTGAATAAAACTTCTTCAGCAACATCATCCAAACTTGCAGGGCAGAAATTACATGGGAACACTACCAGCTGCAGGTTCCCTCTAAACCACTCACCATCCTGACTTGGAAACATCACAGAATCATAGAATCCCTACAGTGTGGAAAGAGGTTATTTGGCCAATCAAGTCTGCACCGACCCTCCAAAGAGTATCCCAGCCAGACCCAGACCCTCACCCAATCCCTGTTTGCCTGCATTTCCCATGGCTAATCAAATCCTAGCCTACACATTCCCGGGCACTATGTGTAATTTAACATGGCCAATCTTAACCTGCACATCTGTAGACTGGAATGCATTGCTGTTCTTTCAGTGTTCGTGGGTCAAACTTTGGCACCATCTCCTTGACAGTACTGTGGGTGGTACCAGACACCAAGGGCTGATGCAGTCTAAGAAGATAGCTCATCACCACCTTCTCAAGGGGCAATTAGGGATGGCCAATAAATGCTGGCCCAGGCAGAGATGCCCAGAGCTTGTTACTGAATAAAAATGACCAACACAGACAATCCTCTTGTCATTAGACAATTCTCTCTTCCCAGTAATTAATCAAATGAATCTCAGCTAGAAAAATGGGATTTGTTGTTCCCTGGTATTGATGTAGAAATTTGAAAATGAGTTTATTAAATGGTGTAATAGGCTTGAGGGGCCACATTGTCTCTTCCTGCTCTTAATTCATATATTTTTAACAATATCTTTTGTGATCCTATATCTTCAGAATAAATATCACTTCTTTCTAGCTACTATCAGTTCTGAAGCAGGGTCACTGGACTCAAAACGTTAACTCTGCTTTCTCTCCACAGATGCTGCCACACTTGCCGAGTTTCTCCAGCAATTTCCATTTTTGTTTCAGATTTCTAGCATCTGCAATTCTTTGTTTTATTTTAGCGTGTACAATTTGTCTGATAATTGTGTCTGGGAAATGCTTTGTGACCTTGTACAAAGTTAAGGGGACTAAATAAATGCTGTTGTAAAATAATGTTCTGCTTCTAACAGGGCACAAAGCACTGTAATTGTGCAGTGATTAATCAGCAGTTTTCAATTTCTCTTCCCCTTAGATCCTGACTGGGCCTCTTACACAATCGGAGTGTTTATCTGCTTGAACTGTTCAGGGATTCATCGGAACCTCTCAGGAGTCAGCAGAGTCAAATCTATCCGACTGGATTTCTGGGATGATGATTTAGTTCAGGTACAGGGAATGTTTGCATTGCAATATTATAAGGGCTTTCTTGAGTGAAGTTTGACTACAGTTTACACTGGGTTTGCTTAGATCAGCAAAGTCATAGGTTGTTCACGATTAGTGTATTTTAGGAAGCTTTTTTTAAATTTAAATCCACTGGATGTGACCATCACTAGTTGGGACTAGCTTTGCTATCCTAACCGGTTATTCTTTTTAGCAATTTGATATGCCTGAGAGGCTGGTCAGGTTTCTGCACAGGGCTGCACAGTCAGTTATGCTGGGCCTGGGATGGGAGTCACATGTGTCAGCCAGTCTGGGCAACATAAAACAAGTTTCCTGTCCTAAATGCAAGCAAAGTGCTTTCTAGGGGAGGCGATGACCTAGAGGTATTATTGCCGTACTGTTAATCCAGAGACTCAGATAATGTTCTGGGGACCTGGGTTCAAATCCCGCCATGGCAGATGGTGGAATTTGAATTCAATAAATATCTGGAATTAAGGGTCTAACGATGACCATGAATCCATTGTCGATTGTCAGGAAAACCCATCTGGTTCGCTAATGTCCTTTAGGGAAGGAAACTGCCTCCTTACCTGGTCTGGTCTACATGTGACTCCAGACCCACAGCAATGTGGTTGACTCTTAACGGCCCTCTGGGCAATTAGGGATGGACAATAAATGCTGCCTGGTCAGCAACACCCTCATCTCATGAATGAATAAAAAGAATGAAAGGTCCAGAATTGTTCACGTGTACAGTTAATGAGTAATTTCAGGATTACTGTGACCCATGAACCTAGGAAAGATGTGAATCTGATGTTTGATCTGTGCTGAGTAAACCTAAAAGCAACAGCATGGAGCTGTGAAGGGCATTAGATCATATAGAGAGAGTGAGCCTGAGCTCCTGATCATGACCCAATGATTTCCCCCTATGACACACCTTCACCTGTAAGAGGATGGGATCAGTTTTTTTTAACTCATTCATGGGATGCAGTGCTATTTATTGCCTATCTGTAATTGTCCAGAGGATAGTTAACTGTCAACAACATTGCTGTGGATCTGGACTCACATATACGCTAGACCAGGTAAGTTTCATCAGTGAACTAGATGGTTTTTTCTAACAATGAACAATAGTTTTGTGATTGTCATTTGACTCTTAATTCCATACTTCTTTTGAGAAAAAGAACAGAATTCAAGCTCTACCACCTGCAAAGGCAGGATCTAACCCAGGTTCTGAGAACATTACTTAGTTTTTGGATTAACAGTCTCATGATAACACCACTAGGCCATGACCTTGCCTAACTGTAGGTTATGATGTTATCTCACCAAAGGGACAGTGAGAGTTGGAACAAGACAGATTACTCACAGAGAGGAGATAGCAAGAACTGCAGATGGGAGAGTCAATACAGTGTGGAGCTGGAGGAACACAGCAGGTCAGGCAATACCAGAGGAGCAGGAAAGTCAATGTTTCGGGCATACACACTTCATCAGGACTGGGGAGTGGGAAGGGAGCTTGGAAATAAATAGGGGGGGTGGGGCTGGGGGAAGGTAGGTGGGATAGTGATAGCTGGATGAAGTAGGGAGTTGTGGAGATAGGTCAGGGTAAGGGTGGGGTGGATAGGTGAGAAAGAAGATGGACAAGTTGTGTCAGGTCAAGGAGGCGGGTTGAGAGGGAGGGTAGGACATAGGATGAGGCCAGGGGGTGGGGAGATTTTGAAACTGGTGAATTCTGTGTTGAGGCCATTGGACTATAAGCTCCCAAGTTGGAATATGAAGTGTTGTTCCTCCAGTTTGCATGTGGCATCATTGTGACACTGGAGGAGGCCACGATGGACGTGTCACCCAGGGAGCAGGAGTGGGAGGGGGAGTTAAAATGGTTGGCGACCGGAAGATCGTGTTGATTATAGCGTACAGAGCGCAGATGCTCCATGAATCGGTCACTGAGTGTGCGCTTGGTCTCACATCGGGAGCAATGGATACAGTAGACCAGGTTGGAGGACATACAGGTGAATCCCTGTCGGATTTGGAAAGTTTGTTTGGGGTCTTGGGTGAAGGTGAGGGGGGAGGTGTAGGGGCAGGTGTAGCACCTCCTGCGGGTGCAGAGAAAGGTGCCAGGGGTGATGGGGAGTGTGGAGCAGACGAGGGAGGTGTGGAGTGAGCAGTCCCTATGAAAGGCAGCTAGGGGTGGGGAGGGAAATATCTCTTTGGTTGCGGGGTCGGATTGTAGGTGGCGGAAGTGGAGGAAGATGATACATTGGATGCAGAGGTTGATGAGGACCAGGGGACTCTGTCCTTATTTTTGTTGGAGGGAGGGGGTTTGAGGGCAGAAGTGCAGGAAATGCAAGAGATGCAGTTGAGAGCATTAAGAATCACCGGAGTGGGGAAGTTACTGTCCTTGAAGTAGGAGGACATCTGGGATGTCTGGGAGTGGCATGCTATGTCTTGAGAGCAGATGCAGCGGAGGCGGAGGAATCGGGAGTAAGGAATCGCATTCTTGCAGGCGGGTGGGTGAGAGGAGGTGTAGTCCAGGTAGCTGTGGGAGTCGGTGAGTTTGAAATAGATGTCAGTGCTGAGACAGTTACCGGAGATAGAGACAGAGAGGTCCAGGAAGGCGAGGGAGGTATCGGAGATGGTCCAGGTGAATTTGAGGTTGGGGCTGAAAGGTGTTACTAAAAGATGATGAACTGTTCAAGCTTCTCATGGGAGCATGAGGCAGCACCAATTGTCATCGATGTAGCGGAGGAAGAAGTGGGGGATAGTACCAGCGTAACTGCTGAAGAGGGACTGTTCCATGTATCCTACGAAGAGGCAGGCACAGCTCGGATCCATATGGGCGGACAAGGGTCTGTTCCATATATCCTACAGTTATTCTCAGTTCTGTATCTCACCATTGAGTCAAAGCCTCTGGGAATGTGCAGCAGATAATGTATAACAATAAATATTAAAAAGACTGTGAATTCATTTTGAGATAATAGGAACTGCAGATGCTGGAGAATCTGAGATAACAAGGTGTAGAGCTGGATGAACACAGCAGGCCAAGCAGCATCAGAGGAGCAGGAAAGCTGACGTTTCGGGCCTAGAAGGGTCTATCCTTCCTGCTCCTCTGTGAATTCATTCTGTTCTGTTGAATTACTGAGACACAAGTTTAGGCTTTGAATCAAGTTTGCATTGTAGATCGGCTGCTGGACAATAAAGTTCCTTTTCAACTGACATCTCTTTTTATTTTTGTGTGTCTAGCAAATGAAAAACCATGGTAACTGGATGGCGAGGAAACACTATGAGGCAAAGGTTCCTCCTTTCTACTACAAGCCTCAGGCTTCAGACTGTGTGTAAGCAGCAACTTCCTTTACTGAGATAGCGCTGGTTTTCAGACTGATATCAATGGTACTGCCTGCCTTACAGTTAGCAATGTAGTAGGTCATTCAGCTTCTCAAACCTGTCCCACATCCAGTTATGGTTGATCCATAATCTTTAATCTATTTAACCAGTCCTGCTACTTCAATGGAGAGAAACTGCAGAAAGCTGCAACACAAAGGAACTTAGGAACACTTGTACGTGAACCACAGAAAGCTAGCACACAGGCACAGCAGGGAATCAGGAACACTAATGGAATGTTGACCCTTGTTTCAAAGGGGTTGAAGTACCAGAGTAAGGAAATCTTTACTGCAACTGTCCAAGGTGCTGGTGAGACCACATCTGGCATACCACATGCAGTTTTGATCTGCTTACTTAAGGAAAGGTATCACTTCATTGGAGGCAGTTCAGAGAATGTTCCCTTGGGTGATCCCCAGTATGGAGGGATTGTCTTATAAGCAAAGGTTAAACAGGTTTAGCACGCTTGCCTTCATTGCTCAGACCTTTGAGTATAGGAGTTGCGACGTCATGTTGAAATTGCACAAGACGTTGGTGAGGCCTCTTCTGAGTACTGTATCCAGTTATAATTGTTCCATTATACAAAGGATATTATTAAACTGGAGAGAGTTTGGAAAAGATTTATCAGGGTATTGCCAGGATTGGAGGGTTTGGGATTTTAAAATAGCCTGGAAAAGCTGGGACTTTTTTCACTGGAGTGTAGGAGGTTGAGGGGTGACCTTACTGGGGTTTATAAAATCATGAGGGGCATAGATAAGGTCTAATAAGACCATAAGACCGTGGTCTTTTCCCTAGGGTACGATAGCTTAAAACTAGGGGGTATGTTTTTAAGGTGACAGGAAAAAGATTTAAAAAGGATATGAGGTGCAACTTTTTTTTTACACAGTGAGTGGTTCATTTGTGGAATGAATTGCGAGAGAAAATGGTGGATACAGGTACAGTTACAATGTTTAAAAGACATTTGGATAAGTTCACGAATAGGAAAGGTTTGGAGGGATATGAGCCAAATACAGGCAAGTGGGACTAGTTTAATTTGGGAACATAGTTGGTGTGGACTGGTTGAAACAAAGGGTTTGTCTCCATGGTGTATGACTCTATGACTCTACTCATTGATGAAGAATGAGAGGTGATCTCATTGAAACATACAGGATTCTCAACGGGTTTGACAGGGTAAATGCGGAGAGGTTGTTTCTCCCCATGGGAGACCCTAGGACTAGAGGGCATAGTCTCAGAATTAAGAGGTGCCAATTTAAGACTTAGATGAGGAGGAATTTCTTCTCTCAGGGTTGAGTGTCTTTGAAACTTCTTGCCACAGAGAGCTGTGGAGGCAGAGTCCTTGTGTGTTTTTAAGGCTGAGACAGATAAATTGTTGATCAGGAGAGGAATTGAGGGTTATGGGGAAAGGGCAGTAATGTAGATGTGAGGAATGTTGGATCAGCCATGATCCTATTGAATGGCTGAGCAGGCTTAAGGGGCCGAATGGCCTATTCATGTTCCTATTTCTTAAGGTTTTATTGTAATCTTTAATATCCACTGCTTGGCAGAGAACCATCTGTTTAGAAACTTTTGGTAGGAGTAGAGTTTGAGATTGCCACTCCTCATTCTATGATGACATGTTGCCTACAACACCCTGAATGCCCTCATTCTACATTTAAGTTCTGCCCCTTTTCCTGTACTATCCATCCAAAGGAAATGGCTTTCTTCCACCAACCATTTACTTCCACTGAAAGGTGGCCCCTGTTGTCTTGGCTGACGGATCTTTCTGGGTGTTTGCTGGGTTTGTAAATGGCAAAGTTGTTCCTTTGGGACAAAGACCCCCGATGACATGAAGATCCCACACCTGACTGCAAGTTCTCTGTTGTATTTGCATTTTTAGAAAGCATGTTGAAGAATTATAGTTTGAATATTTAGCCTTTCTCATAAGGTGTCGTCATTAGATGGGGTCTCAGCCGGATTGTCCTTGGCTATTAAATAGCTGAGTGAAGGTTCAATCCCAATGCTGTGGGTCTGGAGTCACATAGAGGCCAGACCAGATAAGGACAGCAGATTTCCTTCCCTAAAGCTCTGTTTTTGAAGCAATCTGACTGCTTCAGGGTCAATTCTACTGAGACCAGCTCTTAAATTTTCCAGATTTATTTTGAATGTAATTGAAATGAGTAAACTGCTTATGCTGTGATCTGAACTCCCCTTTACTGGAAGACGAGTCTGGGCCTCTGGCTGATTTGGTTTGATTGTTTGAGGTATGGCTGGGAAACACTGCTACAAATAGGGGCATCTGTACAAACATATAAATTAGGAGCACTACCAGCCACTCAGGCCTGCTCTACCATTCAATAAGTCAAATCTGATCAAATTTCTCCACATTCCCATAACCTTTCACCCCCAAAACTTACTAAGAATATATCCGCTTCAGCCTTAAAAATATTCAAAGGATTCTGCTTCCACTACCTTTAAGGGGAAAGGCTTCCAAAGAACTACAATCCCCTGTGCAGAAGACAAAAACACTCATCTCCTCATCGCCATCTCTGGTATTGTCACTGCACTCAAAATCTAGGGGCCCAGGTTTATCTGTTGAGGACATGGGTTCAGATCCCACCTCATTGGTTGGTGAAATTTATAATCAGTGAATAATCTGGGATATAAACTGATCTCAGTGATGGTGACCGTGACAGTTAGCTTCAATTGTTGTTACAAACCCATCTGGTTCATTGATGTCCTTTAGGGAAGGGAATCTGCCATCCTTACCTTGTCTGGTCTACATGTGACTCCTGACCAACTGGTTGACTCTTAATTGCCCTCTGAGGGACAAGGCTACTGAACCACAAAAGCCCTGCCGAGTAGTTCCACCATATTCATGTTCATTATCAACAGCCACTGAACGGGAAAGATTGGGGGGTAGGGGGCAGCTAAGATTATTGGTCAATGTTGAATTTGAATCTGTAAAACAAGAACCAAGGTTGGCCTCAGAATCACCAAGGGTTACGGGTGATTAAAAGATCATCATGATTCCTGTTTCTATCCCTAATCCAGCGTCCCATTGGAGAGTTAGTGCACAGTGATGTTGACAAGGCTGTTACAGAATCATAGAGATATACAGCACAGAAACAGACCCTTTGATCCAACTCATCCATGCCAACCAGATATTCTAAATTAATCTAGTCCCATTTGCCAGCATTTCGCCCATATCCTTCTAAACACTTCTTATTCATGTACCTATCCAGATGCCTTTTAAATGTTGTAATTGTACCATTTCCTCTGGCAGCCCATTCCATACATGCACCACCCTCTGTGTGAAAACATTGCTCCTTAGGTCCCTTTTAAATCTTGACTCCATACTCACTGCAGACTGAGGGTAGAGCTGTTTTGAACAGCATATTATCCTGGCTTGCCAATGGCCACAGCTCCAATCACCTTCAGTTGTTGGGGAGATGGACTGTGCAAGTAGATCATACATAATTGGTAACATAGGGTACTCCCTTTAAACAACACAGCTTGGCAAGAGTTGTTTACCTGGCATTCATGGCTCTGATGTTCCTCTCTGTCTCTGATCCAGAGTCCTGAAGGAGCAGTGGATTCGAGCCAAGTACGAGCGGGAGGAATTCACTGACATCGTCACCAAGCAACAGAAATCTCCCATATCAGGTACAGGAGCTGGGGATAAAGGCCCTCCTTCACATACAACAACTTGTATTTATGTAGCACTGTCTCATGCAATAAAACATCGCAACAAGTTCCAAAGGAGCAGAAAGCAGCCAAAAAAGTTTGACGAGGAGCTGAGTGAGGAGAGATAGGTAACCTAAAGCCTGATCAAAGATGTAGCTTTTCAGGTGCGTTTTAAAGGAGCAGAGAGAGAGAGACAGGGAGAGGGAGAAGAGAGGGTACAGTCCCAGAACTTAGGGCCCAGGCGACTGAAGGGATGGCACCAATAGTGGAGTGATTAAAATCAGGAATGCTCAAGATGTCAGAATTAGAGGAGCACTGAGGGTTATGAATTACAGAGAGAGACCTAGGCTATGAAGAGATGTGGAAAAGAGTTATAAACTGGAATCATTGCTTGACAGGGAGTCAATGTAAGTCATTGAGCAGAGAGGAGAACAGGACTAACCCCGAGTTGGAATTTGCACCCTTCAATGTTCATAGTTGTTTCCTTGCCCATAATAAAGGTGACCGAGTCATTTATCTTTGGAAACGGGGAAAGGACAAAGGAAATTTTCAGAAGAGGACTTTCCGGCTTTTGGAGAAAGAGGGTGTGATCCATTACTACGCTAAGGAGGAGGTACGGCTCTCAACATATCTCATACTGTGTTTACTGCTGGAGACCGAATTTGAACAAGGAGCAGAGCTCCACTGACATCAGTAAGACTGGATATTAACAGTGTCCTATAATAGATGGGTTACTAACCCTCATGGAGTCTTCAAGATTTTAAGTATAATTTTCTGAATGTGCTCGCGTACAAACCCAACAGAAAAGTATACTGATCAATGGTGTTTCTCATTTGAAAATTGTTAAAGTATTGAAAATGGGTGAAAGTCTTATTGTTTGGAATTGGGGCACTTAGAGGTTATGAGATTAATGCAGAAGTTGGCATTCTGCATTAAACGGAGTCCAACTACTGCAACTATTTTCTTTTGTACAGATGTAACTCCAACCTGTGGCGAGATTTTAACCCCCCCACCCTGCTTCCCTCTCCTTGATTCCTATTAATTTCAGTTTCACTTGAGCTCATTGATATCACACTGTGTCAAATGCTGCACTGGTGTCAAGGGCAGTCTCATTCACGTCACGGAAGTCAGTTCCTTTGTCTGTATTTACACTACCATTGCAAGTTCAGTAGCTAGGTGGTTCTGGTGGAATCCAAACTGAGCTGTGGTTCTGTAGGTGCAACTCAAGTGCACTGTTGGTGATACTGTACCTTCTATCATTTTGCTAATGATTGATAGTAGCCTGATGGAGGGACGACTAGCTATGCTTTTTTTTTGCTTTTTGTGGACAGGACATATCTGGGCAAGGTTCCATATTCCACATTGCCTACTGCTCCAACATTTACCGAATATACACTAAATAATCCCACAAACACTACAGTCATGCCTTTTAATTTCCAACAATCTTTATGTGCCCTTTCTTAAGGCAAAAATAGGATGTAGATCCTTTTGAATCATACTTATCCTCCATCTGTCTGTTTATTTCTGCTATCTTAATTTATGTAATCCTTGGTTATTCATTCATACCTCCTATCTCTCTGTGCATTTGCAAATGACAAATTGACAAGGGCAGAGCAGAAGACATTGTTTACATGGACTTTAGTAAAGCCCTTGACAAGGCTCCACATGATAGACTAATCAGTAAAGTTAGATCACATGGGATTCAGGGTGAGCTCACAATTGCATACAAAAGTGCCTTAATGACAGGAGACAGAAAGTGATGGTGCAGTATTGTTTTTCAGACTGGAGGCCTGTGATCAGCAATGTTCCACAGGGACTGGTGCTAGGTCCACTTTTGTTTATCATTTATACAAATGATTTAGATGAGAATATAGGAAGCACGGTTAGTAAGTTTACAGATGACACCAAGATTAGCAGTACAGTGGACAGTGAAGGTTATCAAAGATTACAAAGAGACCTTGATCAATTGCGTCAAATGGGCTGAAAAGTTTAATTTGAATAAATGTGAGGTATTACATTTTGGTAAAATAAACAAAGATACGACTTATACAATTAAAAGTAGGGCCTTGGTCAATGTTGTAGAACAAAGAGACCTAGGGGTTCAGGTACATAATTCTTTGATGTTTGCATCACATATAGATAAGGTGGAAAAGAAGGCATTTAGCACACTTGCCTTTATTGTTCAGACCTTTGAGTATAGGAGTTGGGACGTTATGTTGAGGTTGTACAGGACGTTGGTGAGGCCTCTTCAGGAATACTGCATGCAGTTTTGGTCACTCTGCTATAGGAAGCTATTAAGCTGGAGAGGATTCAGAAGAGATTTACCAGGAATGGAGGGTTTGAGAGGCTGAATAGACTGGGACTTTTTTCATTGGAGCATAGTAGGTTTATTAAATAATGAGGGTATAAATAAGGTGAATGACAGGTGTCTTTTCCTTAGGGTGGGGGATTTTCAAGACTAGGGGATACATTTTTAAAGTGAGAGGAGAAAGATTTAAACAGTCATGAGGAACATTATTTTTCCACACGCGAATTCTGCAAGTTCATTACACAGAGGAAGTGATGGGTGTGGCTACAGTTACAACATTTAAAAGACATTTAGATAAATACATGAATAAGAAATATTTGGAGGGATATGGGCCAATCGCAGAGAGGTAGAACTAGTTTGGTTTGGGATTATGGTCAGCATGGACTGAAGGGTCTATTTCTGTGCTGTGTGACTGTGACAGCTTACATTCTTGTTTCTTCCCTTTATTCCTTTATGAAATGTGGCCATCCCTAATTGCCCTTGAACTAAGCAGATTGCGAGGCTATTTCAGAGGGCAGTTAAAAATCAATCACACTGCTGTGGGTCTGGAGTCATATGTAGGCCAGGAAAACAGACTTCTCTCCCTAAAAAAAATTAGTCTACCTTTTTAATTCCAGATTTTATGGAATCATAATTTAACTACCTGCTGTGGTGAGATTTAAGATCATGTTTCCAAGGGAGATCCAGATGACTAGCTCAGTGACATTGTGATAAAGTCACCACCTCCCCAATTAGAACAAAATGTTGAATCAAGGCCATTTGTAATCAATGGCCCAAGACCAGCTGCTTTTATGATTTTCCAGCTGGGATCTTATTCCCAAAAGGTTACTATTTTTAAATTCTCCCATTAGATTATCTCACTACGATTTTCAAAATGTTGTTCAATCTTCATTTGACCCATGCCACCTCTCAACTATAATGCCCTTTTTCTCTCAAATTTTGCAAAAATCTGATTCTATTTTTTCCTCAAACTTCTAAACTTTTGCCTCAACAGCTCTAGCACTGACTCATTTTCACAGCATCATGGTCGTGCTGCACAAAAGACATGAATATTCTTCCAGAATTAAGCAAAGAACAGCAAATGCTGGAGATCCAAAATAAACAGAAGTAGAAATTGCTGGAGAAACTCAGAGTCAAGCAGCATCTGTGGAGACAGAAAGTGTTAATGTTTTGACTCGTGATCCTGCTTCAGAACTAGAAGTGGCTCTTCTTCCTTGGCATACCATCAAGTCTCTTTATCTGCCTACCTTTTACACTCTCTCTCTCTCTCTCTCTGGGCTCTGTCTCCACCCGTCCATTCACTCCTACCCATCCCAGCTGCTTCTACCTCTGAAACATCGGGCACTGGACTCAAAACATTTAACTCTGCTTTTCCCTCTTCAGACAGTGCCAGACCTTGAGTTTCTCCAGTCTCATTTATGTCCAAGCCCTCCCGACAAATGTGCCGTGCAATAAAGGTGTCCAACCTAACCTCGGCCGTTTGCAGTTTTGTCACAATTTTGTCAAGTGACATGAAATACATTTCAACCTCTTTTATTAACTTAGGCAGAAAGTGAATCAAAACCAGAAGTTAAATTTGAATTGTCAGCAAGTACTCACTATACATAAAATCAGTTTTCCTCTGTTCAAACTTTGTTTCAAATTTGTCTGAGGAATTTCTCTTTTCCCTCCCTCTTTTCCTCTTTGAAGCACAAGTTTTACCAGTGTATAAAGTTCATAATTTTGCCGTTTTCTTTCTTATCCCTTTAAATCAAGTTTTTAAAAAAATTAATTTCTGACACTTGGGTGTTACTGGCTGAGCCAGCATTTATTGCCTGTGTTGTAACATTCCCAGTGGTGACTGTGTGGTCACAAGATTACAGCACCCTTGCTTCTTGGAACATTGATTCCAGCTTCACCAACCTTTTGGTCTGTAGTTCACCCAAAAGCAGTCCTTTTCTTCTGCTTGACAGCTGTTGTGGGGCTACTTCTGCACAAATCCTTTGGTCTCACTGACTCTCAGTCTGTCAATCTGCAGCAGTGAGGCCAGTTAGCTGAGGTTAAAACTTGAATAAATTTGAACCCATGCGTCTGGTCTCCACGACAAGGCTGACACATTGCCCACTGACAAAAGAGTTCAACACAGCTACACATCATCACTACTCCCACTACCTATCCCCACATCATGACCCTTCCTACTGCATTGTTTTATTTATATTAAGAGACAGTTTAATCATACTTTATAAAATCTAGTGGCCACAATAAGATACATATACATGCTTAAATGTAGGAGAAGGAACATGAAATAGCAAATTTTAAATTTAATGTTCATAAAACAAAACAAAATCAGATAATCTAAAAAAAATACAGATGATACAAAAAGAGCAGATATCCTTCTATGGTTGTGCATCTCTCCATCACTCCCATGCTTGGCTCCGTTTTGTCCTGGGCTGGCTGGCTGCCTCAGGATAATTCCATTATTCCAGCTGTGTGGGATCAGAGATCGTGCAGGAGGAACCCTAACTCCGGGGGCCAGTAGGAAAAGAGCAGAGCCATAGACAGATTACAAGTGAAACATAACACAATCTGTTTTAACAGGATAAAGAGCCAAGAGGAGTCATTCACGTGTCAGAGCTCAATGCCACATTCCAGCCGGAAAAAATTGGGAATCCAAATGGGCTACAGATCACTTACCTGAAAGATGGACGTACCAGGAGTATGTTTGTCTACCACAAAAATGGCAAGGTAAGGGGGGGTGTGACAGACTCAAAAACTCATGGCAAACAGATGCTACATATTCCTCAGTCTCTCTGTGTCCTGATACTGACCTTCTCTCAATACTGACCTTCACTCTCTCAGTCTCTGTCCTGATACTTTCTCTATACGGACTCGGTGTGCCCCCATACTGATTTTCTCTCAATGGTGGCTGTGTCTCGGTCTTTCTCAGACCTAATTCCTGACTCTCCCGTTTTATTCCTAGGACATAGTGGATTGGTTCAATGCAATCAGGGCGGCCCGTTTCAGATATCTCAAAATTGCTTTCCCTACAACCAGTGAGACAGAGGTGAGCTCACAGCCTGTGTGAATCATACATTGACAAAGAGGTACCCAAATACAGAGATATACGTAATGTATGTGAACACGTGAAATGTAAAGTAGGCCATTTGGACTCTCTTGGTCATTCAACAAGAGCACAGCTGATCTTCTACACCACCTGCACATTCACACCTTTCATTCTCTGAGTGCCAACCATACTATTGGAGATTATCTCACACCATCTGAAGAACCCTACTCAAGACATGTGCACATGGATATAGACACATGCGAACATGTACACAAAGATATAAGCATATGGATACACAAACATACAGACTTCCAGATAAAGACACGTAGATACAAAACAACTTCATAAACACAGGTTTTCAAATATACATACACACAAAATACACTATACAAACACCAGTATATAGAGACATATGCATATACACATTCACAAATACACACACACACACTAACACAGTCACGTATGATTATAGACAGACTTTACATTACAGAATAAAAACCAAAAGAACTGCAGATGCTGTGAATCAGGAACAAAAACAAAGTTGCTGGAAAAGCTCAGCAGGTCTGGCAGCATTTGTGAACAAAAAAAAAATCAGAGTTAATGTTTCGGGTCCAGTGACTCTTACCGGACCCGAAACGTTAACTCCGATTTTTTTTTGTTCACAGATGCTGCCAGACCTGCTGAGCTTTTGCAGCAACTTTGTTCTTTACATTACAAAGTCTGGATGCTGCCTCATGGATGGATTGTTAGAAATGATTTGTTACAACAGGTGGAGAGAGGAGGAGGAATTATTCCAGAACTAATGAGAATAGTTGTATTCTTACAATACTGTTTTTAAAATGATTACACCATCCGGTGGAGGAATCATGGAGAGGTGGCATGACCAACTTGAGGATACTTTGCGAGCAGGGAAGTCAGTGCAGGGACAGGATTCAGATCTCCCTGGATGGAAGAATTTGAATGAGCTTATAGTAGCTGTGAGAAAGGTCCAGGACTTTACCATTGTTCTGTGTGTTAGAAGGACTTATGGATTTTTGATTGTCATTTTTTCAGCTTATACCAAAATTAACAAGAAATTACATAAAGGAAGGATATATGGAGAAAACTGGCCCCACGGTATGTACTTCGTGCATTCAAGAGTAAATGTGATGTGCTTATTATAGTATTTGTTGATCTCTCATGGAATTGGTCTTTCTAAAATACATGACACTCAAAATTTGAGGAACTTCATATCTATACCTCATATTGTACAATGTATTCTTCTCTGCTTTAAGCCAAGGTCTATTTGCATACAGAAGGGTGAGATTAGGTGGAGTTTAAGTGGTCTTTCCAGGAGGAATCTCTCAGGAATTTGAAATTGGAGTACAACGTGGGAAAGTGTGAGGTCATGCACAGTGGCAGGAAGAAGGGAGGCATTGACTATTTTCTAAATGGGGAGAAAATTCAGAAACCTTAAGTGCGAAGGGATTTGGGAGTCCTAGTCCAGGATGCTCTTAAGGTTAACTTGCAGGTTGAATTGGTAGTTAGGAACACAAATACAATGCTGACATTTATTTAGAGATGACCAGAATATAAAAGCAGGGATGTACTTCTGAGGCTTTAAGGCTCTAGTCAGACCACATTTAGAATATTGAGAACAGTTTTGGGCCCCATACCTCAGGAAGGATGTACTGGCCCTGGACCAGATCCAGAGGAGGTTCACGAGAATGATCCCAGGAATGAAAGGATTAACATATAGGAAACGTTTTGAGCACTCTGGGTCTATACTCGATGGAGTTTAAAAGGATGAGGGAGGATCTAATTGAAACTTACAGAATACTCAAAAGGCCTGAACAAAGTGGACGTTGGGAAGATGTTTCCATTAGCAGGAGACACTAAGACCCAAGGGCACAGCCTTACAGTAAAAGGGAACACCCTTTACGGCAGAGATGAGAAGAAACTTCTTCAGCTAGAGTGCGGTGAATCTATGGAATTCATAGCCACACAAGGCTGTGGAGGCCAGGTCATTGAGTATATTTAAGACAGAGATAGATAGATTCTTGACTATTAAGGGGATCAAAGGTTACAGGAGAAGACAGGAGAATGGGGTTGAGAAACTTATCAGTCACAGAGCAGTTGCAATGGCCTGAATGGCCTAATTTCTGCTCCTATGTCTTATGGTCTTAATATTTCCTTTCAAACTATGATCCAGAAATTTGCATATAGTTAACAACTGTTGTAATAAAACTTAAGCCATTAATTATAGCTCCCTCAACTTTGACAATGAGCAAAAGGAGTGAATAGGTTTAGGAAGTTATAGTAAGTTATCGGTGACTGTTCCACGCCCTGTTCTGAGGCAGATTCTCAGAGCAGTAGGCACAGCGTGAACAACATTCAAGCTGGTCTGGTCAATACAGTCATTACTGTTACTTCAGTTGTTCCAAAACATTCTCTCTAGGTACTGCATTCAGTATAGGAGGAGAGTCTGGAGAATCACCCTTACCACGTTAGCTCCCATAAGGAATCCCTGTACCTCTTGTGTAAGGATTTATAAAAGGATTGATGCAGAAAACTAAAGCCATATATAAATCAAATAAAACATTGAGGTTCATTTCTAAAGAGAGCGACTGATTTGAAAAGCAGAGAAATTGTATTAAACAAAAAACAAAAGAACTGCAGGTGTTGGAAATCAGAAACAAAAGCAGAAGTAAAACCTGGAAAAAAACTCAGCAAGTCAGGCAGCATATGGGGAGGGAAAGCACGGTTAACATTTTGGGTCTAGAAACCCTTCCTCAGAACTGATGGTAGCTAGGAAAAAGTTGGTATGTATGCTGAAGATGGGATGAGGCAAGGAGGAGGTGTAAAGTTATATTAAACTTGGTTACATCACACTCCAAATACTGTGTTCTAACTCCATATTTTAAGCAGTGTATAGAGGCGCTGAGGAGGGTTCCAAAGATTTGTAAAGACATTACCAAAGTTTAAAAAAATGTTCGAATTATGTTTAAAGGATGGAGAGGCTGAGGATCTTCTCTCCAGGAAGCAGACGGATGTTATGATATATGTTTTTCAAATTATCACAGGGTTTGATAGGAAGATGTTTCTATTTGTGGGTGACCAAAACAAGCAGACATAAATATAAAACAGTAACTAAGGAAACTCAGCAAAATCACCTCAAGGAATGTGGAACAAAAAATAAAAAAGGGAAATACATTCAAGGGAAAACTCAACCATTTGAGGGGGAAAGGAGCAGAATGATACAGAGCTGGGGTCAGATGAAGTGAGGTGAGAGACACTCATGGACTATAAACATTAGCAATGGGCCTTGTGCTGAAAGAATTACATTATGGAAGTGAGTCAATGTAACATGAAACTTATTTCTTCTGATACATATTAAAGAAATGAGTAGAAAACTAAATATACATGTGAAGCATTCAGGTGTCAAAGAGACAAAAATCTTATACCACAAATAAACTTAAGAATGACTCTTTCCTTCAGCAAAAGGAACCTTTTAAGAGAAGATGGTTCACATTGGATATTCAAGATCGTAAACTGCTGTACTTTAAGGAACCACTGGTAAGTGGCAGAGTGCTCTTAAAAGGAGCAGTTTTAGAAGCATGCCAGGGACAGCAACACCCCCTGAGGCTTATGCAGTCTTTAATGGGGAACACAATTCCTCTCAACTTTTGACATGATTGTTCCTCTGATGAGGTGAGGAGAGTTGACATGCTAAGCTACTCAGCCTATTTGAAGGAGTTGGATCAATGGGACATTTAAATATCTTGCTGGTAATATAAATGAACATAAAAACATATGAATTGACAGCAGGAATAGGCTACTCTACCCTTTGTGCCTGCTCCATCATTCAGTAAGGTCAAGACTGATCTGTGAAATAACTCTACAGAGTATCCTATCACCAAGTCAGCCTTTACTTACACGTGGAGTCCTTGACACTGATCCAGCTGTCAGAGTGAACAGAACCCTGGCAACTCCTCTTCTTATCTGTTAGCTAGGGCTCCCTGATTGGACCAGAATAACAGCCCAATCAGGAAACTCATTCTATGAGGTCCACCTCATGTTACAATCATTACAATCTAAATACACCACAGTCCTAGGTTCCCCCCCGATAGCCTTCATGCACTTCCTTATCAAGAATGTATCCACCTCTGCTTTAAAAATATTCAATGATTCTGCTTTCACCATTTTTTTTTAAAAAAAGGAGTCCAGTTTCAAAGACTCACTTCTTGAGATTATTATTTTTTTGGAATTCCGGATTAATTCATAGAATTCAAATTCTAAGTGCTGCTGGGATGAAATTTGAACCAATGTCCCTAGATCATTAGCCTGCCTCTCTGGCTGACTAATCCAGTGATAACATTATCCCTAACACAAGCTGAGCAGTTGTTTGGTTTTGTTTTCCACTGGTAGACAATCTGATTGCATCAATTTTCCTTGTGGCAAATTCTGAATCCAGCAAGCTAGGCAGCATCTGGAGGAAAGAAGAAGTCAACATTTTGGGTATCACCCCTGTTTGTCTACCTTGGATTCCAGCATATGCAGTTTTTTTATGCAAGTTCTGAATCCAAATCCCTATCAGTTTGAGAGGTTCAGTGCCATGTGTTTTCACTGTGGAATCATCAGGATTAGCTATTGCCCCATCTTCCTCCTCATCATATTGCACTTACTAAAGGCTGATGTGTTGTCTCGACCAAGATTGAAGTTGTGTGTTTAAGCTGCACTCCAATATAAATTGAGCTCAATGGCACTGAGGGAGTGCTACATTGTTGGTATCTTTCAGAAATGTTAAACAGAAGCCCCAACAGTCCCTGCAGCTGGTCACACAAGATCCCGTGACACTATATCAAAGAACGACAGGGGACCCTTCCCTGTCTGTTGTATCAATGAACTTATCCCTCAAACCAACCACAAACAGTAACAGACAAAAAAAAACACAGCAGATGCTAGAAATCTGAAATAATGACATAAGTGTTGTAAATAAATCCTCAGCAGGCCTGGCAGCATCTGAGGAAAGAAATGGAATTCACATTTTTGGTCAAAGATCCTTTGTCAGAACTCATTAAAAAGCAATCTGGTCATGATCACAATGCTGTGTGGGGGGCCAGGCTCGGCACAAACTGGGTTTCCTGCAGTAACTTCAGTTTTAAAGAAAGATTTCACTGGTGACAAAATGCTTTGGGACATAGCGAAAGGTGCTGTTTAAGCTCAATGTTCTTTCTTTCAGGATGCCCATGCACAAGGGGAAGTGTTCATTGGGCATTCGGACTATGGATATAATATTCTGGAAAGCCTCCCTCCTGGTGTGAAAGGCAATAAATGGAACTTGGGGATAACAATTGAGACACCCGAGAGGAAATTTGTATTTACCTGCAAAGACGACCAGGATCTCAAGGAATGGATTGTAGCTTTCAAAGAAGTGATTTTCAAACCAATGTCCCCCCAAGACTACACAGGTAAGAACACAAGTCCTTCAATCTTAACCTGATTTGCATGTCTTTTTGTGTTCCTCAAGCATCTGGTCTGTGTTGAGTTAGCTTGGGGGAGTTAGGTGGAGCTTAGCCACACAGCTGATAGGTTGACTAAGCTACTTATCTGAAATTGGTGTTTGTTTCCTTGTGGCCATTTCTCAGATATATAATTGCAGCCAGAGTGCCAGCTGTTGTCTGATACATTAGCCTCGTCCAGTGGATAGTATTCCAGACCAGCCCCCTGGTCAGTCTGTTGTTCAGTCCTGTGGCTTGGGTGCAGACTCTAATGCCTCTCTAACTGGCCCATCTGAGACAATCACCTCAGCACAGAATGGGAGCAAACCTGAATGTAGAACCTCACTTCCCACAGACGAAAGGGCAGCATACATATCTCAGAGTCTTTGTGATTGCCAAATGTAGATATATTCCTTGTTCAGAAAATCCTCAGCTCTTCTGACTACAGTTGGGTGAAAACACGGCATTGTCAAAATAATATGGAGTAAAAGTGAAATAACCAAGCTGGTTCTCGTGTTCTGTATGACCAACTAACGTGTTTATTTTTCAGTTGAGGCCTCTTTAAGACGGAAGCAGAGGTGACAATAACTTGAAAAAAGTGATGGCTAGACTCAGAACAGGGCATTCTATTCCAAAGATAGCCTGCAATTAACAAGGGAAGGCACTCCTCATTTGGATAATGGCATCTCGCTCTGAACAGACTATTGAACAAACATGAACACTAGGTAATACATGATGCCTATTACATTTTGGGCTTTGAACATACAGATACTCAAGACTAAGCAAAGCTAATGACTCCTGCCTCGGTGATCCAGCTTGCCCATCAGGGACTCTGCCAACACGTGTTTCTACTGAAAGCACCTGTTACAATTCAGTTATGAACTGTCGATACTTGAGTGAGGTGGCATTGTAACTATATCTGGAGCGCAGGGACAGAATCAGCAAAACTTCTTGGAGACATTTCTTCCAAACCAAAGCATTTGGAATGCAGGAAAACTAAAAGCAAAAACCTATGCCATTATTTCAGAGTCTGTTTTCCTGGTTTTGGGCAACATGGTTATTTGTTGCATCCACAGACCTGTGTGCCAGAATCCATAGGGGAGACGACTAGGGGACGAGAACAATTCTTCATCATCTTCAGTTTTACTGGGTGGAGATCTTAGTGTATTGCCTCTGATTAGGTTGGAATTATAAAACACTAGGTCAGGCTCTGGCCCACGTAACCTTGTTTGCTCGTGTAAACTTTCCTTACCTTCGAAGACATTTTGGTTGTGGTGCCAGATTCTTTGAAGATGTCTCATTCATTGTCCATGTGAAACATTTCGACTACAGCCAGGACTTTCCATGCTCAGTGTTTGCTTCTGATGAAATGTGGGTTACATTATATATGTTAGTAAAATGATTCCTTCAGGAGCTTTCCAAAATTGTGGTTCCTCACACAGAGACTAGGTACAATACTGGTGTCTGAAATAACAGTGAACTTTCAATCTGTACAGCCACATCTCTGTAAAATGTTAAAGTAACAGCTACCTTGTAAAACAGAATAATTTGATTGCTCTTTGTTTTGCTTTATGTAATAAAGAGAATTCCAAACCAAAGAAGGTGGCAATTGCTTGAAGGTTTTTGATTTAATCAGCAATCTGGTACAGGTGTAGTATGAACGTATTGCAGTCCGTACATCCGACACTCGCATATTCACTGCCATCAGCTGCCTCATCTTGCAAAGGAAATATCTTCTGAAACCTGAAAACAAAAAATGCTGGAGCTCACCATGGGTCAGACAGCATCCACAGAGAGAGAGCAAACTAAAGTTGAGTCTAGCTGAGTCTTCACCCAAGCCCCAGTGCCCTGATGCAGTCATTGAGACTTAGCAAACTAATATTTTGTCTCTCTATGGATGCTGCCTGACCCGCTATGATTTCCAGCATTTGTTGTTTTCAGAACAGATTGCAGCATCTGCAGTAATTTGCTCCTACCTTGTGAAACCTGGTTGGATTAAATATGAAGGTTCACAGACTACCCTCATCTTCCTACTCACTTTTACGAAGCAAGAAGGGCAATAATATCCAAGATAAACACGCAATACTGGAGAAACTCAGCAGATCAGGCAGCATCTGTAGAGAGAGAAAGAGTTAACATTTTCAGTCTGCCAGTTCTGAAAAAAATCACATCACTGTGCAGTATTCAACAGCTTGTCTCTTTTGAATGTGAAGTTCTGAAAAGTCATTGAACATAAAATTGTGTTTCTCTTCACTGATGCCGAACCTACTGTCTCTCCAGCACTGTTTTATTTGAGATATCCAGCATTCACAGTATTTTGCTTTTACTCTGTGCTGTTCCAAGAGGATAATCCCTCAGGCTATTGCTATTTCTGTCTCTCCTCATATGCCCAGGGGAAGATCTAACAGAAAAGGTTAGTGGGACCCAGTAGGTGCAAATGTTGGCTTTTGCTCATCATGATCATGTCTTCTCTAATACAAGACCACATGAGATCTGACACTGATTGGGGTTCTTCTGATGAACCACTCAGCAAAATGACTAGTATGTTCTTCACTTATCTGGCTGGAGAAACCTGTGTGTGTGTGTGTGTTTGTGTTTTTTTTTGGGGGGGGGGGGGGGCGGTTAAGAGAACTACAGTGAAAATTGGCCAGTGACAAGTTGCTGATTGGCTTCTGCAATCTTCACCAGTTGTGGATGCTAAACAACACAAGCCTACCAACAGTATTCTGGCCCTGGGCAACTGAACAGCTTGTGGTCAGGCGGTATTCCTTTCTTGGCAGCAAAAAAAACCCTTCAACTTGAAGAAAACTAGTTTTCTCCTTGCACTAGTTGCCTTTAATAGGCTTTATGGTAAACCTATTGCCCTATGCCTCTTGCAAACAAGTGGACAGAACCAGGAAATAAAAGGGATTGAAAATCCAAAGTCCTGGTAAGCAAAAAGTTAGAGTTCAAGGAACCCTGTGGACTGATACTACTGAACTGTGGTGTCCAGTTTTTCAACTCAATAATTTTTTCTTTTGTGTTTGCATGCATGCGTGTGTAATATATATGGGGAATTTTAAAAAGGGATTAGAGTTGTAACAAATGGAAGCATATGATGATAGGTCCAAAATCATTGCAATAAAGCTAAACTTATTTGCCTAACTACTTGCTGAACCAAAATGTTTTGTGATTCCTATACATGATTTTCATCTAAATAATCATCTAATGTCCTTATGAATACCTCTTTTGCAAATCACTTGAAATCTATGCCCTCTCATTCTTGTTCCTTTTGCAAGTAGGAACAGCTTCCCCTTATTTACCCTACCCAGCCTGCTCATAATTTTGAAAGCCATCAACAGATCTCCTAACGACTCTAACAAACCTGGTAAGATGGTGGCAGGGTAAGTCACTCCAATCAGATCTCCACTCTGCTTGCCAGTTCTCTCTTTCTTTGTCCTTTTTCTCCCCATGTACAGATTCTATCCCCCTCCCCACCCTTTTTAACTACCCACCTAAAGGATCAGGGAAGAGCCGGGTCACAACCAGGAACCATGTGGCAGAAGCTGAATGCGCAGGTCGAGTCCTGCAGCAACAGTGGATCGAGTGTGGGGTAGAGCGACAGCATCAGATCAGAGGTGAGCGGGCCAGTGAGGCAGTCCAGAGCAGGATGCTGGCAGTGGCATGGCCTGGGCTGGAAAGCCTGGAGCGGGACTCTGGCAGAGGCATGGTGAGGGCTGCAAAGTCCCAAATGGGACTGCAGCAATGGAAAGGGATGTTGGACTCTCAAGTTATTTTTTTCCTTCTCTTATTCTAAGTTAAAGTGAATGGCCCCATACGTGTACAGTGAAGGTTCACACTTTTCACTGCATTTTTACACTAAATAGATGTGACAATAAATGATTCAATTCAATTCCTGCCAAGATGCATCACCTCTCATTTCTCTGCATTGAACGTCATCTGCCACATATCTGCCCATTCACCCAACTTGTCCATATCCTTCAGAAGTTATACACTGTCCTCACAGTTCACAACTCTTCCAAGTTTTGTGTCATCTGCAAACTTTGAATTTGCGCCCTGCACACTAAGAAAATCTAGATTGTTGAATATATATCAGAAAAAGCAAGTGCCCCAATACCAAACTCTGTTTAGGTCCACTACAAGCCTTCACCCAGCTCGCAAAACATCAACAATTTGTTTCACATCACTCAGCAAATTGTGTCCATATCACTAGTCACTCTTTTGTTCTATGACCTATACCTTTCCTCATGTCTGTTGTGTGGCATTGTATCTAATGCTCTTTGGGAGGCCATGTACACCACATCAACAGTGTTACCTTCACTGAGCCTATTACCTCTTCAAAAAAAAAACTCAAGCAAGTCAGTTAAAGATGATTTCCCCCTTATAAATCTATGCTGACTCTAACAAGCCAACTTTTCCCAAGCAACTACTAATTCTAGCCCAAATAACTGGCTCAAGAAGCTAACTAGTCTGTAATTGCTCATCTTATGGTTACAACCTTTCTTGAACAAGGCTGTCATATATGCAATTTTCTAGCCTTCCAGCAACTCCTCCACTGAAGACAAAGATTATGGCCTATGTCCTCGCAATTACCACTGTCTTCCTTCAAAATACTTGAATGCATCTCACATGATTCCAACTTTAAGCACCAACAGTCTATCCAACACTTCTTCCTTAAATTTTGGACCCTTTCAGAGACAGTTCCCTCCTCTTGTCTCCATGGCCTGGATAGCATCTCCCTCTTCGGTAAAATTAAATGTAACACTTCTGCCATGGCCCCTGCCTCCTGGTATAAATCCCTTTATTTGTTCTGAATCAACCCATCGCCTTTAACCAAACTTTTACGATTTGTATATCTATAGAAAACATTTAGACATCCTTTTATGTTTGCTGCCAGTCTTTTAAAAGAATTCCTCTTGCCTTTTCACCTGCCCTCCAAACCTTTGGCATTCATCTTGTTTCCCAATTTGATCTTCTATCAGGCATAAGCAGATTTTTTTCTCCTTTGTCATTCAAGGGGCTCTGGATTGGTTTGTCCTACCTTTCCTATTGAGAGAATGTACCTTGACTGTCTCCTCTTTGAAAGTAATCCATTGTTCAATTACTGTTTATCCCCACCTCCTCTTCTTCCAGTCATTCCTCCAGCACTCTGTTCCTTCCCACTGAATTCTACTCTCCACCAATTGAATTTTTTACCCTCTCAATCTGGATTGTTGCATGTCACTGTCCACCTGTTTCTCATGACACAATGATTACTAATCTCCTGAACATTGTTCACTGATAGTTGATCTACTTGTCCCACCTCTATTCCAAGAGCCAGGTCCAACAGCATATTCTTAACCAAAAAAAAGTTGCTGAAGAAACTGAGCAAATCTGGCAGTATCTGTGGTGAAAAAGCATAATGTTTCGGGTTGTTAGTTCATTCTTTGTTGGACTGGACACATGCTGCTACAGGAACACTTGCCACTCATTGCGCCCCCCCCAACACTACAAGATTCTCAGTTTTGTTTGAGTAATTGAAGTCTCCAATAATAACCATTCTATAATGTTCACATCTCTAATTTCCCTGTACATTTGTTTCTCTACATCCTTTCCTCTAGTTGGAAGTCTTAGACTACAACTAGCAATGTAACTGAACCTTTCAGGTTCCTTAGCTCTGGCCAAATTGATTCTATCCATGGATCCTTAGACATCCCTTCTGCAGCACTACAGTGTTATCCTTAAACAATACTGCTACCCGTCCTTTCCTGAACACCTTCTACCCAGGAATATCTAACACCCAGTCTTACTCCTCCTTCAGCCAGATCTCATTATCACCCAGTCACTTGTGTATCATGGAAATCATACAGCATGGAAATAGATGCTTTGGTCCAACCAGTCGATGCAAATCATAATCCCAAACTAAACTAGTCCTACCTGCCTGCACTTGACCCATATTCCTCCCAACATTTCTTATCCAAATGTATTTTAAACATTGTAACTGTACCTGCATCCACCACTTCCTCTGCAAATTCAGTCCACACAAACCACTGTGTAAAAATACTGCCATGTCTTTTTTAAAATTTCTCCTCTGACCTTAAAAATATGTCCCCAGTCTTGAAATCTCCATTCTAGGGAAAAGACATCTGTCACACACCTTATCTACACTCATTATTTGATAAACCTCTAAGGTTACCTGGTATCATCTTTTAAAAATATTCGATAATTTCACACTTGCCCCATTATGCTTCATTTACTACCTCTGTATCCTTTGCCCTCCCCAAAGTGTTTTTTTTTAAAACTTAACTTCCTATTACCAGAAACTTGAATATACTACCGTGGCTCCCTCAGTGTTGCAAATTGCAAAGGTCTAAATGTAAATCCTTGTGGTACTCCTCTAAGTACAACACAAACCCTGAAAATAGGCCACTTCTTTGCTTTGTTAATTAACCAAGCTGCCCTAACTTGTATGCACCTAGAACCAAGAGACAGTGTCTTATGCTGAGGCTCTTCTTTTAAGACTGGGATGAGGAATTTCATCTATCTGGGATGGGGATTCTTTGGAATTCTCTATTCCAGAGAGGTCAAGGGTCAATTGTTGAGCACATTCAAGAGAGAGATAGATAGATTTCTAGGTATTTAAAGATATCAAGGAATACAAAGTATAGTGCAGGAAAAATGGCAGAGGCAAAAGATCTAGTTGAGATGTGGAACACAAACTCAAAAGGCCAAATGATCGATTCTTATTTCATAATGTGGGGTGTTAAACTGAATACAAGGCACAGAACAATGCAGTACAGGATGTGTTCCTTTGGTCCACCATGATGTTATTCTAATCACATCTGCCTGAACACAGCCCACATCCCTCTATTCTCTGCCTGCCTATGCATCTAAGTGCCTCTTAAACTTTGCTAATGTTTCTGCTCCCACCACCACCACCCCTGACAGCAAGTGCTTGTAATGCACTTACTACACTCTTAAGAACGATCCTTGCATATCTCACCTTTAAACTCACTCATCTTAAACCCATCCTCCCAGTTTTTGACATTTCCACCCTACTCCAATTTTGATAAACATGAAGTAGCATATAAGCAACTTTATGCCCAATTTGCATCAATCCCTTGGATGAATTTTAAGCATGGATAGCTGTCAGCTTTTCAGAAATTTGATAATGAGTGGGGAAGGAAAACAAATGGATAATCTGTTGTCAAAGTACCGAAAACAGAAGGGACTGGGTAAATTCAACACCAATGGGATCAACTTTACAGCTGAAGAAACAAGCCTAAAGTGATACAAATGCTGCTGCAGATTTATTGCTGTAGTAACCATTTTAACTGTGATACTGTGTGTAACAGAATAAACCCAATAATGAGACTGTCAAAAATCAACTGCAAGCTTTTATTAAATTCTCCGAAATCTTTTGTTCCAAAGAGAAACGCAATTAATCCGATCCTTCCTCTTCCAACAAAATGTTTCAAATCTTGGCAACAATCTTGCAAATCTTGTATACCCACTCTAACGAGATCACAACTTTCCTGTAATGTAATGAGAAGCAACACTAACTGTGGTCTAACTAGTTTTAATGCAGAACCAGTATAACTTCCCTAATTCTTAAATGACTCAATTCAATTGTTATACTTCAGGCCACCATCCAGTGTGCCTGCTCGAGCACATTAGCCATCTGTCCTTCTACTTTTGGGGTCTGTATCCAATCCATTTATTGTATGCTCCTTGCTTTACTTATGCTTACGACATCTTTTCATACAGAATTCCATTTACTTGTGGAAAATTGACTTTCAACATCTTCCTATGATTTACAGATTATATCCTCACAATAATTAGGCAAGAGGTTAATAGCCATGGATGCAAGTTTCTTAAATTATGCCCCTAGATTCGAGTTTAAAATCATTGATATCACAAAAAGCAAGTGATCTAGGACTAAGCATTACTAATTATCCTTCTCACAGAAAATAAAGTAGTAATGAAAAGGAAACACTTTTAAATCACACACAAATGTTTGTGATAGGTTAAAAAATACAGCTTAGCTTCACAACAGAATCTGACATTATGAGGCACTGGTCATGAACAGCCTCCAGCCAGGCAAGAAACAAGGGCTGTGCAGGTACAAATGTCAGAAAGCACAAGTCAGATAAAGAATTAAATGGGATGGGCTACAGAATCAGGCCAGTAGGTCCGCACAATTAAATCCCGTGTGTCTCTCAGAGGCTGTTTTCCTTCATTGTCATGCTCTGGTATATCTTTCGCAACTTTACTTTCCAATATTTACTCAAGCTCTCCTCATTGCTTTCATGATTTCCTTTTAAAAATCTGATCCCTGCACTCAACCTTGTGTTTCTTCTTGTATTGTTTTTAACCTTATCCTTTCCATACAATGAGCTTCAGTTAGGAGAATCAATCCTTTTTCCTCGAAGGAATGCATCGAATTTGACAAATCTCCCCGAATGCCTCTTTGCTGATTTATATTTTCTAATCAACCCCTTCAAAAGGAGGTTATTACACATACCTCTGGAACTGGTGGGACGTGAACTCTCACCTTCTGGCTCAGAGAAAGGGACACTACCACTGTCACAGAGCCAGCCTCCAACTGCTTTAAATCACAGCTTACTTAGTAAAATTGGATTTGCTCAAATGATCATGATCACCAAATTGTTCTAACACTGATAATCTTAGGTTATGAATGCCTCAGTTCAGAACTGTTCCCACTTGCTAGCTTGATTCTCCTCCTGAAGTCTCCATCCCTCTACCAAGCATCTTTCACCCAGCATCTTTCCTGGTGTAATTTAATTTTAAAAAGCCAAACCCAATGCCAGCTAAATCAATATTTGCTTACTTTACTTCTCATACTCTTTAGTCTTGGGGAGGACATTTGGGGCCCCGTGCCTTCATGGTAGTTGTTAGGATTTTTAAAAATCCTACACAACTATTTTAGACGTCAAGGTTCAGAGATGCAATTAGATGTATTTCAATAAAACAATTTTAAAATTTGGCACACTTTAAATTTGTAATTAAATCAAATTTCAATTGAGTCAGACAACATTGACGTAGGAACAAAAGCAGAAGTTGCTGAAAAAGCTCAGCAGGTCTGGCAGCATCTGTGAAGAAAAATCAAGAGTTAATGTTTTGGGTCCAGTGACCCTTCCTCAGAGTTCTGGCAGACCTGCTAAGTTTTTCCAGCAACTTCTGTTTTTGTTCCTGATTGACAGCATTTGCAGTTCTTTCGATTTCTATTCAATATTCACACAGGTTTGTTTTGATTATCTTGAATTCAGGTCAGATTGAGGTGGCTGGACTCACTGCCCACTGACTCAATTTTCCCAATCAGTCCAACTGAATTATTGTAAGAGCTAGATCATTACAATGTTCAGTTTCTTTCTTCTCTCAAAATCCTCTTTTTTGGACAACCAGGATCTAACTGAAAAGGTGCGTGGGTCAAGAATAACAAAAACCTCAAGTTGATTTTAAAAAGTCAAAAGAAGATACCAGAAAAAGTGATAGCCTAGATAGGCTATTCAACACAAATGAAATGAAGGTGAGTTTACTCAGCAAAGGCCTCAAAACACTTGATCAACATGTGAGAGAATGCTAAAAGCTCCTGAAATGAGTTCTTGCAAAAATTGAGATTTTTTTAATGCAATGCATTGAGTGCTAATATTGCATGTTAAATGTAATATTTTTACATGCAATTTCTATGATACCAAGAGATTTCAGATTATATAAAGAGACTGGAGAAGTTGGATTTTTTCTTAAAAAATTGCAGATGCTGGAGATCTGAAATAAAAACTGTGCTGGAGATACTGAGGTTTTTCTCTAAAGATGCTGGTAGACAGTCTTTTAGAAGTGTCCCAAAAATGTCATATTGAACTCAAAATATTAACTTCCTCACTCCATAGATACTCCTCGACCAGCTAAGTTCCTCCAGCTCTTTGTTTTTATACTAGAGACGCTGGGTTGTCCTGCTTGACAACAAAAATACAGGAGAATTGAGGTGTTCAAAAGTCAGTGAAAATAAGGCAAAATTATTTCTAGACAAATACAAATTTATGGTGATTGGTGAAAAGAACCAGAAATGACATAAGGAATAAAAAATGCAAATGTATCTCAAATGAAATGCCCAAGATGGGGAAGCAAATGCAATAGCAACTTTTTAAAAGGGAACTTAATAAATTCTTGCAAAGGGGAAAAAAAACCTAAGCTATGAACAAAAAACACGTGCAATGGATGAACACTGAAGTACCCTTTCATATCTCTGGCACAGGCATGATGGGTTGAATAACCTCCGAGCTGTATCTATGATATGTACAATTCTCGTCAATATTTTACCAATGTGCTTACCACATTAATAACACTTGAACAATGAACATGATATAACATTCTCAATTCAGTTACAGGGCAGCAACATTTTCCACAGCTTCCAACCTAAACTGTGGCTATTAAACATTTATTCCATGCTCAGCCCAAAACAGCCCCCACCTTCTAACACTTCTAGAAGATTAGACTGCTCTTGACTGCACATGTGCGATGTCACACAAATTGATGCCACTTATAGGTTAAGATCTTCCACAGAAATGTGCCTAAACAGTGGAGACAGAAAGTGAGACCAACTGTAAAATAAATTGTACAAAATAAAAATGGTCAATACAATAAAGACACTGATGGATGCAAAGATTGTTAAAAAGAATAAATGTAGCATACAGTATTCAAAGCAATTAGTTGTGACTGTGAATGGGTAGTATCAGCCTCAGAAAATACACTCAGAATCAGTCTCGTGACCCCCAGATCTGAAGTGTGAATTCAAGTTTGAGAAACAACTCAACCTCAAGTAAAGAAACATTGGGACCAAGAAACACCAAACAAAATCAACTTTATTTAAAATATGCAACACTTCAACACCTCAAAGTTTGAATAATTAACCAGAGAAAAGCAAATGATTTTCTTGTAAATCTAGTTTTTGCAACAATCTTATGTCTAGCTGATTGACTATGTCTCCTATATACCTGTTATACAGTCAAAAAAGGTGTAAACCTAAAATCTAGAAATGTTTGAGGAATTGATTCAAATATAGAGATCAAGATCAGATGAGCTCCTTAACAGGGGTTTCCAAACTGCAGCTTGTGGGTCACCAGATGCTTCACAGCCCAGATATCTGGCCCTTCTCTAAGTAAACTATGTATACTGGCACTTAGTTCAGATGTTGAATTTTGTGCATCTGGAAGTTTGAAAAGGAAAACCAAGTGACATGCCAGAGTGAAAAATTCCAAATCAGAACACTCCTGATCTATTTAGTCAGCTACTGAAGCAAATGCCCAATAATGGGAATATTGTTTTAAATTTTATACTACAGCCCGAGACTCCATGGTGTACAGCTAACTTGCCCTTAAAGGCAGAACATCGAATATGCTGCCTCAATATTAAATTCTTAGGTCAAATACTTCATTGGTTCCTACAAATCAAAAAGAAACCTTATGTATAGCCAAATAAATAACAGCTACACCACTTGGTATCACTGTTCTCAAAAGAGCTATCTCAGATGTTCAATTTATTTCAAGTTATTGAAGTCTCTATAAAGAAAAATGTACTTGGCTATAAAGCAATTACAACCAACAGACCATTGCAGTGCTACTTTCCACCTTGAATCGAGGCTAGTCTCAATATTCCAATATGCTGGAGTGGCAGACATAGGTATGCACGTGACTCGCAATGAGCATCAGATTTTGATCAAGTCTGAATGAGCACATGCTCAGCAAAGGTCTATCATGTCCCCACAGTAAAGAAGATTGCACTGCTCCAAAACTACAGGTTTTTAAATTCTCATTTGGGCTATGCTATGAACAGAACTAGCTCTACTTCCCTACATAATGACTTTGCCCATACTTAATCCAGAGCTAGGGCAGAAGAGGAAATGGTACCTAATTTCAGTCCCAAGTGGGAAAAGTGCAAACTGAGGCTGAAGTTAAATGATAAGTTTGCTGATGGTCACTAATGAAAGGTTCAGCCATTCTGTAACAGTTTGCAGCAAACCAAGGTGAAGTGATTTATAAACTTCACACGTCAATTAAAGCAGCCAGAATAAGTCAATGACTTGAAATTAGTATCAAAATTCAGTTAAGAATAACGACATACATAACACTGATTTGTTTTGATCACATTTTAGTGTTCTGGAGATGTTTGGTAAATCAACTGAGGGGATCCGCAGAACAGAGAAAACAACTAGACAAGATCATGATTGAAGTGCCCACATTCTGTTTAATACTGGATGCAATTAATTTGATCCATTTTCTGAAAACTATTCTAGTATGTACCCACATTAAATAGAGCCTGGATATTGGCAAACGTTGATTTGTTCTTAGAAGAGATTCACTGATTGAAAGACGTTGTTCAAATCCCTTCTTAAACGGACGCTAACACATCAGTTCTCCATTTGGAATGGCTTTTCTTCTGCATGTTGTCAATTCAATTGTGTTTTACCTCACCCCACCCACCACTTTTCACAAGTATTCAGATATCAATAAAAGAGGCACATCGATAAGACAAAGGTCTTCCGAGCAATATTACAGGAAAGAAAATAAAAACTTGCATGTGTTACACCCAAATAACAAAATGGTCACATAATAGATTTGTTATTGTGACATGGAGGTATTGTAGTGATATGTCCATTTCAACTCTGGGTATACCAAGACCTTAAATCCAAAAAATTCCTAAAATTTATCAAAATTGATTGACAGATCAGTACATTACTTGATAAGGTTAAAGTCAATTACTTAAAATGCAGATTGCGTCAACTGGATGCAATTGGTACAGTTCTATTTAGCCGACAGTAAAACCTATATTAAATGTCACACTTAAAGAGGCTGTAGAAATATTGCCCAAATGTTCATCAACTTGGATCATCTCTGCCATTTTGTGGGAACACGCCATACTTTGATAACAGGCAGCAGGAGGGGAAAGTAAAGGGAATGTTTGTCACTAAAGAAAAGGATACTGCCTCCAATTTCAGACACTTTATATCTTGATGACTTAGTAGACTGCTAAAATAAAAATACATTTTAATGTAGCTTATCATATTCCACAACAATTTGCCCTTGGAAGTTAATGCAACTTTTGTGTAACAAAAAGGGGTGACAAAAGTTTCAAAACAAAACAGCCAACAAGTTTGAGCCACTAATTTAATGTTTATTGCCGATTTACCATTCTTAAAACAATTCTTGGGTAATCACCAGAACTGCTGCTCGGTTTAGTCACGGCCAACGACTGCACATGATAAATGAGGCTTAGATTTTCTACAACTCGAGTCGTACCATTTTCAGGAACATGCTGACACGGCAGTGCTCCAATCCATTTCACTTTGATTTTGCAACATGGGTGCCCTACTTGAGGATTTCTTGTCACGATCTCCACTGATTGAATAAAGGCCTGCACAACAACAACTGTACACATTTCCAACAACTGAAAAGACTGTAGAGAGATGCAGCAGAAGGTTATGTTGCTGAGATAGCAAAGTAGATTGGTCTGTACTGCGCTGCAGGTGGGCTGGGGGTGGGTTCTACAAAAAGTAGGCAATTATATTTTGTCTCAATCTTTATTTGCCCCCTTCTTCCTGGAAGGTACTAACTCTTGCAGGGTACAGTTTCTTGGGCACTGGTACTCATTCTTCCTGGAGGTTAGGCAATGGCCATTAATTGATTATTAGGTGTGGACGGCTTTGCAATTAAGACAGACCCCACCTAGGCCTGAAGACCACACAAAGACTTTCTGGAAAAACCTGCTCAATAAATTCAGCAGATGAACAAACAACTTTGGGACCTCTTTATTGTGGTTCAAAGCCCTGCCCAGTGCATTTGCCCAACAAGTCTTCAAATTTTAGCTAATGTTTGATCTGATCCTTTATTATATCAGGTATATATTTAGAAATCAACAAAAATTCAGAAATGCCCATAAAAATGAACGTGCAGCACAAAGCTCTAATCTTTTACGAATCTTACTGATTCACTTATAGCAAGTGTTGTTTTGAAGCCGTGTATGATCACTCAATAAAAGGTTTTACTGTCGATCACTTTTCTTAAAAAAGTGATTATAGACATTAGTTCCAAATGTGCTTTTTGAAGGAAAACTTCCACCACTAATATTCACACTGTTTAGAGACAACAGATACTTACAGATTAAACTAACCTGTACTGCCAGAGCTCTTGGCATTTCCTTTCCTACACGTTAAAAAGCAAGTGACGGAACGCTGCTGTTATAGTTAACTGAAACAAAAATTATGTTGAAGAAAATCTCAGTTTCGGGTTCAGGGAACTTCCATATTAATATAAGCTGAACATTTGAGAACCCATTCATCTGAATGGGCATCACTGATTACTAAAAATAAGTTTGCAAATTAGAGGGTTACATTTTCCATTCAGTGCTGACTTAGCACTGAACATTAACATTAGCATTAACAGGGTGACACCAAATTCTTGGTACCATTTTACCACTGGCTTTAACCATGGTTAGAAGTGCCAAATGGAAAACAAAAAATGAAATATACTTAATCATAAGGAACTACGATATTCAATTGAAATTAAATATACTCAATGGTCCAAAACTTAAAGCAGAAAACACTAGCATAAGGGTACTAAATAAATTAATGGATACTGCAAATCCCAGTTCGTGGCATACTTCAGAAATTAGACAAGCAATCTTTTAAGGAAAAGAAACATTTTATTCCAATCTTGATGTTTTATACTTTGAAGTCATGCAATAAAAGGAATTTCTCCCTTTTATATACTTCCTCTAATGCTAGACAGCCTGCTCCATTAAAAGTGAAATCTTGCAGTTAAATGATGATAGAAAGCATTACATCTATTCATTTGTCCTGTGTTGCTTAGAAACATCATGCTGCAAGATAAAATATTCACACACAACTTAAGGCTGCAAAACAAATACAGCAGAATTCTCTATTGCATCTCAGTGCCAGCTAATAATTCTAACCTGCTTGTAGCCACTCAAGCTACAAGTTTCAACCTCCTTCACCAGTTTAGTAATACTGTGTAGCCTTATCTCTGCTTCACAGCTCCTTTAATATCATGGAATCAGTTGACTTTTTGGAAAGGATTAGAAGTGCAGTTCTGAAATCTAAATATAGATCAAGTTAGTCAGAAGCTTGAAGTTTGTCATTGTAATCAAAGTTTCAAATCTTTAGGGTCACTATTTCAATCTACAAAGGCAGTGGGCAGGTTAGTACTGCTGCCTCACAGCGCCAGGGACCTAGGTGCAACTCCAGCCTCGGGTGACAGTGTGTGGAGTTTGCACATTCTCCCTGTATCTGCGTGGGTTTCCTCCGGATTCTCCGGTTTCCTCCCACAGTCTAAAGATGTGCAGGTTAGGTGGATTAGCCATGCTAAATTGCCCATAATGTCCAGGGACGTGCAGACTAGCTGGATTAGTCGTGGGAAATATAGGTTAGAAAGGGTGGGTCTGAATGTGATGTTCTTCAGAGGGTCAGTATGGACTCAATGGGCTGAATGGCCTGCTTCCGCACAGTAGGGATTCTATGACTGGGTCCTTTAGAAATCATTAGTCTCAATGTCCCATAGATAAAATTTTGCATGTTCACTGGAAATTGACACAATGCTCAAAGAATCAAAATTCAGTTGTCTTTAAAGGTCAGATGAAACTTCTCTCCGGATGGTGTTTGCCATATTGGGCCACTTTCAAGACCAGATGACTTCCAGTATTTAGCACAAGCTATTCTTCACAGAGAAATAGACAGCAAGTATTAGCATGACATCACATTCCTTTCATAAGTAGTAGAGGCCATGTATTAAAAAAAATCCCTTTCAGATCCAGTTCTGATCAACTCACTATCAATAAAGGCCTTGAATCTTCAGTCTATGTTTCTCAGTTCTGTTAGAGCAGATATTAACTTCTAAAAGCAATATACTTTACCCCAGCCAGCTGATTGATTTGCTCAGGTCGTATTACCCCAAACCTTTAACTGTAATGCTGTTCCTCTTTGAGGGAGTGTTTGGTACATAACAGAAGGCATCAGACAATAAGAGATTGTTTATTCACTGATAGGGTCCCAGCAGTTGGGTTAAAAGTCAGACCCATGAGTCCACTGAGTCTTTAATCAGCTTAAAATCAAGATTGATGGAAAAGGAAAAAAAGGGAGAATGAGAAAATATTAGCAGGTACCCATAGGGAAATGCAAAATCCTTTCACATAAGTAGTAAAAAATGTTAGTTCAAGGAATGGCTGGGTTGATTACGACAAAAATCCAAAGCACCACCCACCCCACCCCACTTTCTGGGCAAGGGAATCCAAGGAAAATGACACGGAGGGGAAAAAAAAAGTGCCCATTTTAAAAGGGAGACTTCTTATCCTTAATCTTAAACTGTCTCCTCCAAAATAGGAAATGTGCACCCCAAGTCCCTTCAGGATCTTAAGCTTAAATAAGATCACATCTCATTCTCCCAAATTCCAGTGATTAAAAAGGTCTAATCTGTTCACCGTTTCTTAATAAGATGAAGCCTTCACCTCAGGCATGAGCCAAGCAGCCTTCTCTGAACTGCTTCTAATTCAGTTATACCTTTCTGAGCAAACAAAGTGCAAGAGGACGCATGCAGAGACTACTTTCATGAGAGATGTAGATAGTGAGAGTACCTCAAAATTTGTTTCACAGTTTTTGTTAAGTTTGTTCAAGTTAAATTTAGACAAAGGCTCAGGTCTGATGCAGAACTTTAAGTTAATTAAATAGCGTTGTTAAACAAGCCAAACAGTGCTAGCTAATTTGGGTGTGGCAGGAAGAGACAGAACTTACATAAATATAACACTGCAATTGTAAATGAGGCCAGAGTTTGCCAAAAACAAAGGTGACGTGCGTGTTGATGGTTCTATATCTGAATGGACGCAGCATTCTTAAAATAGATGAATAAACACAGATTAAAAATGTACGACTGATAGCCATTATGGAGACATGGTTACACGGTGACCAAGGATTAGACCTTGACGCTTAAGTATCTGATATTTTTCAGAATAGGGACCTAGGAAAAGTTTGTACTCCCACTGTCAAATTTTGACCCATAAGTCTGCAAATGGATTCAGGTTTTATGTTTCTCTTTTATGTCCTCTGTCCTCATTTCTAACTATTAGTTTTATAAGCAAATATAGCTACCATATAGTCAGTTTCTTCATTCAAATCTGTGATACAGATTGCAAATAATTCGAGTCCCATCACTGATCCTTGAGATACTCAATTACAGGATGCGAATCCAAAAAAGAGCCATTTATCCATATTTTTTCCAATTAGCTAAACAATCCATTATCCATTCTAGAATATTATCTGCTATACTGGGAGCTCTTAATTTATGCAACATCTTATCAAACATCTTCTGGATATCCAAGTATGTAACATGGACAGGTTTGCTTAATCCACCTCATGTGTTACCTTCTCTAAGAACTAATGAATTACTTAAAACATTTCCTTTTCAAAAAGGATGTTAACTCTGCCTGATCATCAAAATTTTCTAAGTATTGCTTTAACCTCCTTAATAAGGCATTTTAGCAAGCTCCCCATGAAAGATGCTGGGCTAACTAGCTCACAGTTCACTTTCATTTTCTCACTCTTCTTGAATAAAGGTGTCACATTCACTATTTTCTAATATGCTGGGATTTTGCAGAATCTAAGGTATTTTTTCAAGGTAATAACCAGTATATCTACTATCTTTATTACAGCCAATTCCTTTAAGACCCCAGAATACAGATCAAATCCTGTTGACTTGTCAGTCCTTTAGATCTAATAGCTTTCCAAGTACCTGTTCCCTGTTGATGGCGATTGTTTTAAGTTCCTCTCTGCCTTTCACTCCTTGATTTTTCAAGTGTCTTTGGGAAGTTTTCCCAAGCATTCTACAACAAAGACACAAAATACCTGTTCAACCTTCCGCCATTTTCTTGTTAGCCATTAATAGCTCCCAGACTTCGTCAAGACCACACTCACTTTATTTACACTTTTCTTGTTTAAATTCTATGGAACTGTTGTGTAAATATATAGTATATATTTTCCAGGGATCAGAGTTAGAACAACTCTTTTTTGTTACATACATATAAAAACAATGATCTGTATTTGGCAAGAGAACAATTTTGAAATTTACACAAAGAATTTAAGAGTAGCCACAGACTTTTGGAGGGCAGACATGTGTGAAATATGTACAGATGCCAAAATATAATTTTGAAACATAAAAGTGATATACTTTGGCAAAAAAAAAATAGAAGCACTATGATCTAAACAACACTATTTTGCTGAGTGTCTTACAAATCTTTAGAAGGTGGCAGGGCAAGCTGTAAGACATTTTAAAAATCTAAGTAGACAACTGGCCTTACAACTAAGGGGGCTAAATACAAGAACAAATGATTTTCATTTTACAAGTCACTAACTTGACCTCTATTCGAGTATTAGATATAATTCTGGGAATCATCTGAAAGAGTACAGATGTTTACTAAGAACATAGGACTTTAGATATGTGGAAGATTACAGAAACTGGGATTGTTCAGACCAAATGAGGTTAAGAACAGGTCCTCGAAACAGAGGCATTTTGATGGAACAAACAGCAATAAAAATTTTCCTTTGGCAAGTCAGGTAGCAACCAGGGGTCACACGTTTAAAATAATTAGCCAAAGAATCAGAGGAGAAATAAGAAGTTATTTGAGGGTATAACACTTCTGAACATATTACAGGATAATAGAATCTGGATTCCATAAAAAGAAAACTGAACATGTACTTCAAGAACAAATATGCAGGCTTTACAGAGAAAAAAAATCTAGGTGAATGATGAAACTGGACTGCTCTCTCAAACAGCCAACATGGGAATCACAGGTCAAATGGATTCCTTCTGTACTGCAAGGATGCGCAGTCTCAATTTACTTGTCTAAAGTTGACTGGTGCATTTGGAAAAATGGAAAGAAGAGTCTTCTGGATGCTGATCAGGAGAAGCAGCATGTCAAATGCCTCAGCAAAGACATCAGAGTCAAAGTCAGCTTGATTAAGTGTACACAGAAAGGAAGGTGTCATTGGCCAGTCACACCATTTTGGTCAGGCAACACTAATTATTTCAAATGCAAAATTCTGTCTTTATTCTGTTATTCCTTCAATGTCCAATATCTCTTGGTTTTAAACAACTCAACTAACTCTAGATTACAAGGTGCAGGGCTGGATGAACACAGCAGGCCAAGCAGCATCATAGGAGCAGAGAGGCTGACGTTTCGGGCCTAGACCCTTCATCAGAAAAGGGGGAGGGGAAGGGGGTT